CCCCAAAACCCCAAAACCCCAAAACCCCAAAACCCCGATTTGAGAAATCAGGATTGAGCTATAATAATTAATCATATATCCCATTCTTTGTGCTATTATTTATAATTTATTTCCCAAAGCTCTATTTAAACACAGATCTACGCATGGTTTGAGCCTGAAGGACTCAAGACCTCCATTAGAGACTTCCCATCTGGACGAGTGCTAAAAGATGAAAGTCTGGTCTATATGTAGATCTAATGAGAATATTTTATACTAAACTCTCATTATTTAGAATTTAGGATTTAATCAGTATCATTCTCATCGGCAATTTCAGGCCCATGAACCCCTGCAGGTTTTAAATAAGGAGTAGGCTTAGCTAAGGCTCCTTCTAGTTCATTATAAGCATCCTTTTGCATTTGCTGTGTGTTCTGTAACTTCTTAATGAGCTCCATTTCTATTCTTTCAAGCTCCATGACTTCATTCTCTTTATTAAGTCTGACATTTTCTTCATCATCAATACGGCTATCATAATGATTTTTAGAATCTTTTTCTACTTTCCTCTTGAGTTCATCTCTCTTGATCTTCTGTATATTATGATGCTGTCTGATGATATCGGTCTTGATCTTATTCTCCTGCTCGACTCTTTTCTTCTGGTTCTTCCTTCTCTGGTCATTCTGCTTCTTCTGTAGCTTAGCCATCTTGGCTTCCTGTTTCTTTGATATCAATAGGGCTTCCTTTATTTTCTTCTGTTCTTCCTTTCTCTGATTACGTATGGCTACATTCCTTTTCTTGAGTTTGGTCTTTTCTTCTGTCTCCTTCTTAGTCTTGAATACTTTTTCCTTGTATTTAGCTTCATTTCTTTTATTTAAGTATCGTAACTTCGTTGGTCCTCTTCTTGGTCTCATCAATCTTCTTCCTTGCCTTTTTCTCTTCCATCTGGAGGAGGGCAATACGGTTCTTTAGTAACTCAGCATCCTTTTCTACCTGCTTCCTCTGTGCCTTGGCATCCATAAGCCGCTTAGCTTCTAGGTCATGAGCTTGTTTGAGTTCTTCCATGTAATCTTCTTGTTTTTCCTGGCTTTCTTCTCTATCATGCGGAGTTCCGTTTTCGTCCTCTCTATAAGGAACTGTTGGAGCTGAACGTAGACAGAGAAGGCAGAGGGGGATCAGGTGAGGTGTAATAGAGTAGGGATATAATTTTTCTTTGAGGATTATGAAAACTGTTAATGCTTTTAAATCCTGAATAAGGGTTGTGAGGGATATAGATTAGCGGGGAAGGAAATTCAATTTAGTAGGAGGGTATTTTGGCATGGTGGACCTTACCTTGACTCGTGAGCATCTTCTTGGTGGCTTTCTGAGTCTGCTGGATCGTTCTTAGGTTCCATATCAAATTACTTTGAATAAAATTTAAATAATTTTTATACATTGGGGTTTTGGGGTTTTGGGGTTTTGGGGTTTTGGGG